AACATACAATGGGGTAAAAGGCAGCTTAATCAATAAATGGTATTTGGAATACTAGACAGATACATGTAAAAAAAAGAAACTAGACTACCTTCTTACACCATAAACAAGAATAAAATCAAAATGGATTAAAGACTTAAATGTAAGACCAGAAATCATAAAATTCCTAGAAGAAAACATAGTCCGTAAACTCTCTGCCATTGCTCTTAGTAATATTTTTTTCTGATACATCTCCTCAGGCAAGGTAAACAAAATGAAAAATAAACAAATGGGACTACATCAAACTAAAAAATTTTGCACATCAAAGGAAACTATCAACAAAACAAAAGGACAACCTAGGGAATGGAAAATGTTCACTAATGATACATCTGATATGAGTTCAAATCCAAATTTTATGAAGAACTCATACAACTCAGCACCAAAAGAAGAAATGATCCAATTAAGAAATGGACAGAGGTCCCAGTCAGTGTGGCTCAGTTGGTTGGGCACTGTCCCGTGCACTGAAAGGGTTGCCTGGTTCGATTCCCGGTCAGGATACATGCCTGAGTTGCAGGCTCGATCCCCGGTAGGGGGCATGTGGGAGGAAGCCGGTTCAATGTTTCTCTCTCCCTTCCTCTCTCTCTCAAAATCAATGTTAAAGAGTGTTAAAAAAAAATGGACAGGGGTTCTGAATAGACACTTCTCCAAAAAGGATACACAGATGGCCAATAAACATATGTAAAGATGCTCAGTATCACTAATCATCAGAGAAATGGGAATTAAAACCACAATGAGCCCAGCCGGGCATGGCTCAGCGCTTGAGCATCGACCTAGGATCCAGGCGATCAGGGTTCGATTCCCGGTCAGGGCACATGCCCGGGTTGCGGGATGCAGCCGATCAATGACTCTCTTATCATTGATGGTTCTATTTCTCTCTCTCTCCCTCTCCCTTCCTCTCTCTGAAATCAATAAAGATATATTTTTAAAAAAACAAACAAAAAAAAACCACAATGAGATACCATCTCACACCTGTCAAAGGGCTATCATTAAAAAAAAATCAACAAACACCAAGTGCTGATGTAGAGAAAAGGGAACCTTCATGCACTGTTGGTGGGAATGCAGACTGATTCAGCCACTATGGAAACCAGTACAGAAGTTCCTCAAAAAATTAAAAATAGAACTTCCATATGACCCAGGGATTTCACTTTTGGGTAGCTACCTGAAGAAACCCGAAACACTAATTCAAAAGAATATATGGACCCCTATGTTCACTGCAGCATTATTTACAATAGCCAAGATATGGAAGTAACTCTAGTGCCCATCAGCAGACGGCTGGATAAAGAAGATGTGGTACATATACATAATGGAATACTACTTGGCCATAAAAAAGAATGAAATCGTACCATTTGCAACAACATGAAGGACCTAGAGAGTATTATGCTAAGTGAAATAAGTCAGAGAAAGACAAATACTGTATGACTTCACTTATATGTGGACTCTAAAGAGCAAAATAAATGAACCAATAAAACAGAAACAGACTTGTAGATACAGAGAACAGACTAATGGTTCCCAGAGGCAGAGGAGGGGGAGGTTGGGAAACTGAGTGAAAAAGGTGAAGAGATTAAGAAGTACAAGTTGGTAGTTACAAACTAGTCACGGGGATATAAAGTACAGCATCAGGAATATAGTCAATAATACTGTGATGACTATGTAAGAGGCCAGTTGGGGCCTGCAAATATTGAGAACACTTTGTAAAGTATATGATTGTCTAACTACTATGCTGCACACCTGAAACTAATACAAAATAAGAGTGTAAACTGAAAAAAGAAAACTAATAAAAAATGGGGGGTTGTAGTCCTGAAACCGTAGGGTTAATCGTGTAGCTTCTTACTCAGTAGTTTCAAAGACAATCAGCTGGACACGCCGAGTCTGGTTCGGTGTGTGCAGTGCACAGCCGCAGCTGCAAAGAGCCTGGAGCTGAGAGGGCTGATGTCCTGTCCCTGAGTTTTCTCTGGCATTAGAGAAACATCTAAGCTACACACTTATGATGCCTCCAACCTCCCCAGCCAAAGGCCCGGGAGCACGTTTCCTGTGGCCTGCGGAGATGCCAGCACCCACAGAGCTGGCGCAGAGGCAGTCTACACACAAGGACAGAAATCGCCCAAACTGAATAAAACCGAGGCTCTCGCTCAGTCCCGAGTCCACACCTGGAGACATCAGGAGGCCTTAATTCCTTCCCCTCAAGTGAGGAAAACTCCACCTTCTGTACACACCCCAGGTAATCGGGTAAAATCAGCCAGGTATAGGCCGTCTTCCTGGCCCACCTCTGGTTCAGTAACGCACGGTTCTTCAAATGAACAAAATCAGTGGAAACTCACATGAGAGGGAGATTCAAACGTGGCCACGCAAGGATACCATGAGGGCAGAGCCAGCTATGGCTCCGGTGTGAGAGCAGGGCCCCGCAGGAATCTGTCTTCCTGCGGTAGGGGCGGGGATCGAAGACTGTTCCGCCATCTCACAGACGCTGATCCCCCCACCTGAATCGCCCTCCTTCCCACCACTCCCAGCAGGTCACCGAGCAGCATGCCCTCTGGCTGCGGGACTCAGCACGACTCCCCGACCGAGGCCGGCGGGCTGAGATTTAGAACCGGGTGGTGCTCCCAGAGGACAGAAACTGTGGGCGCAGTGCCTGCGGTCGGTACTTATTGGCCCTCCTCCTGCCTCTGCTCTGCTCCCTGCCTCTGGCCAGCTGCTGCCCCACGTCCTCAGGGTCACGGGGTAGACACCGAGGGGCTGTAGAGGCAGATGCAGAAGGGAGGCGAAGGATCTCTAACATCTCCACCTCCCAGGGCCTGGAGTGCGTGGGGATGTGGTGAAGCGGAGGGTGCTCAGTGTGGGTCGGCAACTCTGGTGGAGGTCACAGTGGAGATACAGGCCCCTCTCTCCCGGGCCATGGCCCTGGTCCTGCAGGGAGCCTTGTTCAGAGTTTCTCAGGCTTCCTTCAGGAACACTGCATGCAGCCCTGCGCGGGCACGCGGCCTCGGCCAGCATCCCACACCACGATGCCCAGGGCCCGGCTTCCCCCACTCGATACGACACGCATCTCTGTCTATTTAAGTAGCTGATGCTTTTCCTGTGTATGGTCTTCCTTGATCAGGACTCTACAGATGACAATTTACATTATTTCCAAATTGTGACAGCTGCTCACATCCTTGAACATGCGGAGGTGTGTTTGTGAGTAAACATTTAGGTCCATTACCAGCAGGGTACAGGGGAAGGGTAAGTACACTTACACGTTTAATAGATATTGTGACACTCTAAAACTGTTCATTTAAATTCCCAACAGCTATTCAGGAAAGTGCTAGCTTTTCCCTCAATTCAACAACTCTGGGTATTAACATATGTAATATTTACACACCTGACAGGTTAGAGTGGGACCAGGCTGCTTGATTTCATTTCTCTAATTGTGACGGAGGCTGAGAACCTCCCACAGTTACAGTCACGGCCGACTGGACGCCATCGCCTGCGAGCTGTCCAGTCACACAGCTCGCTCACGTTTCTGTCGGCTCTGCTCCACGCCCCCGTGAGGGCTGCAGGCCCAGGACACGGGCCTCCACTACCATGGCGAACAGGTCCCTCCAGTCTGCCATCTGTCTAAGACGTTGCTTTCGGCTGCTCCTTTTGAGAGTAGTTTTTATGCTTTCATGATCCTAAGGTTTTATGTCATACTCAGAAAACCTTTCCCTGTTTAAAAACTGTTCCCATATTGTTATCATTTCAAAGGTCCGATTCTATTCTTTTATTGTTTCCTTTTTTTTTTTTGCATTGAAGTGTTTGTTCCACTCAGAATTTATTTTGATTTAAAGAACTAAGTTGCTCCATTTTTATCAGTTTTCCCCAAATGGTGTGTCCATGGAACCAAAACCGTTTACTGAGTTGCTTTGCATTTCATGACTTCAAAGCCACTTTTATCATACTTTTTATTTCTGCGTGTACCTGAACCTGTTTACAGACTCTCTACTCTGCCCCACTGACTTCTCCTGCACACACTGTCTTAATCACCAGCCTTTTGCTTCTGTCTGTACGCCTTTGGGATGTCTCTTCTCTAGAGTAACGCGAGCATCGTTACGTCGGTCTCTGGTACTCACTCACCAACCCGTTATGTAGGCACCTCGCTGGCCAGCTGGGAGGGAGTCATTTCCTTCCACTCAGAGGATGTACTTGGTCTAATGTCCCTTCCTGACCTAAGGTCTCACCTACGGTCAGTTCCGATTTGCCAATATCGGAGCAGGTTAGAGGACAGTGACACAGCGACATGAAGCTTTAACATCTGTTGATTTTAAAACCGAGGCCAGGAAGGTCGTTTAAGCCAGGGTACTCAATATAAGCAAAAACTTACGGTTCTATTAAGATATATATTTTTGAGCCCTGGCCAGTTTTTCTCAGTGGTTAGAGCTTTAGCCCTTGGACTGAAGGGTCCTGGGGTCAGTTCGGGTCAAGGGCATGTCCCTGTGTTGCGGGCTCACAGGCCCCAGTCAGGCACATGCCAGAGGCAACTGGCCGATGTGTCTCTCACATTGATGCTTCTGTCTCTTCCCTCCCTTCCACTCTCTAAAAGATCAATGGAAAAAATATCCTTGGGTGAAGATTAACCAAAAAAAAAAAAAAAAATACTTTGAGCTTTATTAACTTTAGGTAAAGTTAAGGTGAACAAATAACTAAGGCTTCAAGCCACTCTCCAGGGAGATCCCGTCCCCTGCTGCCTGGACCCGGTGAACCCGGCGTCCCTGGCGTCCCTGCCAGCCCTCCCTCTCCCACACCTGCGGAGCTCGCCCCCACCAGGCGGGGAGGCAGAAGCGTCCTTCGTGTTCCTGAAAGTGACAGTGATCCTTCTTTAAAGACCACACGAATCCATGCTGTGACCACTGCCTGCCCTGCGCTGCTGAAGGATGACCACACACATTTCTCAGACCGATGGGCAGACAGTCATTCCTTTCCTACGAGACTACACAGCATGAACCTACCGTGAGCATATCATCACATTTCATGTCTGGTGCGTCACCATCTTCGCTTTTATTGTAGAATTTTCGGAAGAAATTGAATGCCACCACCGTGTACAGGTATACGACGACAGCCAGTAAGCCAACGGTCAGCACCAGCTGGAAAGCATGCGACATTGAACATGTGTTAGAACCTGAGACACGTGACCTGTGGGGGGAGAGGGGATGTTCATGTGGGAGGGAGGGGACGGCTGGGCACAAACCTCGACTCACTGCCCAGACAGAAAGGACCCAGATCTGGTGTCTTTCCGACCACCCAGGGGGGACTTCTTTTCATGTTTTCATATTTTATCAAGTTGTCATACTATTTTATGTAAAACTTGACCACTTAGTTGGCTAACAAATGCATACTATAGCTGGAATATAAATAAACTCTGATTTAATTCCATATCCAAATTGATAATATTAATAAGCAGCTTAAATGTTCATCTTTCTATCATCTAAATACTTAACAGTAGGTACTACATTTAGCTCTTTCTTTTTATAACATCTATTCCCTTTAAATAATATATATTCCTTATTAAAACTATCTCATTTATGATAGTAAGACCAATTATAAATCATTTTTTCTTTTAATCACATCCTAAAACTAAACAGAAATATGCATTGCTTCTAACATCTGGAAATACACACTATTAATATGTAATACAAATATTAAAAAAATAAAACGGAGAAGTCCTGCTCTGTTAACAGGAAGCAATGATCAACGTGAAAGACTTAACAGCCGATACCAGCACCATTGCCAAGGCCACCTCTTCACTGTGTAATTAATGTCAGTGGAAAAGGTCTTCTTTCAACTATGTAATCTTTCTTCAACTCCAAACTATACTCTCAGAGAATGTGTTTGTTAAACGTGGCTTCCAGCCAGCTGGTGAAAATGCATCGATGGTGCCAGCACAGAAATCCTAAACCCGGGAAGTGTCTGCTTCCTGGGGTGGCAGCACATCCTTGTGCCCCCACCTGAGGGGCATGTACTCAGTGTTTTAACAATCACTTCGTAATCATCTGTATAAAAGGCTCTCTCCATAGAGAGCTTAATTCACTTCTATAAATCAAGGACAGAGCCACTGCAATTCCTGCATGTTTAGCCATAAGGACTACTAAAGCTTTATATATTTCTGCAAATGAAAAATTGGCACTTCAGAAATAGAGCAGCCATCACAACACAAGTTCAGAAATTAGTTTTAAGCACTGCTGACCTTTTGAGTGAACTACTCCATAGAGCCAGCATCTCCGGTTCTATAAACATGCCAGGAGCACAAAACCAACGTGCTGGCTGATGAACCAGCACCAGGCACTGTGTCCCTGGAACCACGTGCCACTCACGTCATACTTAGATTCAGAAACTGAAGGACAAACATGAGAACAGTGTGCGGAAATTTAGAAAAGCAGAGATCGTAATAATGTGAACTTGCTATGGACAGGCTTCTAGATTTTGGGAGGAGTACTGATTTAAAAATAGGCTGGCCCTGGCCAGTGTTGCCCAGTGGTTAGAGCGTCGGCCCCACATCAAAGGGTTGTGGGTTCAATTTCCAGTCAAGGGCATGTACCTGGGTTGCAGGTTCCATCACCAGCTCCAGTTGGGGCACATGCGGGAGGCAACCAACTGATGTGTCTCTTTCCCATCGTTGTCTCTCTCTCTCTCTCTCTAAGAATCAATGGAAAAAATAGCCCCAGATGAGGACTTAACAAAAAAAAGATAAATAAAAATATGCTGATTATGACTCTGGAAAAGAAGGACTCAGTTCATCTAAATAACTGACACAGAATGTCACCTCCCAGTGCCCCTTGATAAGTAAAGAATGAATCAATAAATGCACACTTCCAAGCTAATTCCCCAGTAAGAACTGCGTCAGCATCACACTTAGCTTTCCTTAGAACAGAAGCTGACTTTCTGGAATGAGGCAAGTTTTCCTCCAAGTATGACCTTGGCAAGTTTGCAACATTACTGTCCTTTTTGTGCAATTTAAAAGTGGAGGAAAAATTGCATGAATATCCAGTTTTACAGTATTATATTAAATTGGGGCACAGCACCTCATGTTTCCTGACTAACAGCTGGTGCGCCAGGTGCAGCAGCTCCCCCGGGCTCCCCAGGGTATCAGAGGAACAAATACTGACCAGGAACAAAATGACTATTCTCCCAAGTGCTTGATGTGTGCCAGGGCCTGTGTGAAGGCTCCACTCCACATTTATGTTTAATTTTCACAGAAACCCTATAAGGTAGGACTCTTATTGTGTTCATTTCACAAAATGAGGGAGTTGAAATTTAAAAACATCAAATAATTTGCCTGGCCAGCATGGCTCAGTGGTTGAGTGTTGGCCTATAATCCAGGATGCCATGGTTTGATTCCCGGTCAGGGCGCCTGCCCGGGTTGCGGGCTCGATCCTCAGTGGAGGGCATGCAGGAGGCAGCCAATCAATGACTCTCTCATCATTGATGTTTCTCTCTCTCTCCCTCTCCCTTCCTCTCTCTGAAATCAAGAAAAACATATTTTAAATAAATAAAAAATAAATAAAAGCATCAAATGATTTATCTAAAGTCACACAGCGAGTCAGTCACCAAGACTTGAATGCAGGTCCAGGTGGCTCTCTAACTACTAATCCTCGTGGTTTACAAGAGAAACCAGCAGAGTCTCTGTTCAAAAAAATCTGAGACACTGTACATTGTCACCTGAGGTCTGTTCTATTTTTGTCAGCATATTTGCTGCCTTTTAGTTTTTGAAGGAAAAAAGAAACTCTCACCTGCTTGCCATTGTGAGTGACTGACGACAGGATGGTCCTCAGCGTCTTGAACCCCATAGCAATGTCGAGAAGATGGGCAGCAAAGAAGAAGTTGTTGTAGTGCCCAAGGACAGACATGGTCATGTACCAGGCGAGGTAGAGGAAGGACTGTTAAGGCGAAACCGGACACAAGCTCGTCAGAAAATGCCCGTGACCGTCAGCAAAGCCACTCTGATTTTGTTCTATTGTAATCACTCCACTTCATCTTCTTAACTATACATTTATAGAATCTAATTATATAATCAGGCCCCCTTTTTGCTCAGGAAGTCGCTTCTACTATGAGAGAAGAAATTAGCTGCAAGACACCTTATTGACAGGTGGCAGTTCTAAAACATCCAAGTCTTGGTTCTGAGCTCTCAGGAGAGTTCTCTAAGATCCCAGCATTGGAGCTCATGCTGGTGAGGTGGGGCAGAGGCAGGAGAAGTTGGGGTGTCACCAGTCTTTAGGAGAATGGACCTCACATTCACTAGAAAAGTCAATGCTAAAATTGAAGTGAGATTCAAGGCTAAATGAGCTGTACAGGGAGAAGGCCGCAGCCAGAGCAGCCGACGGCCGGGTGCCGTCCTGCTCGAGGGGTGAGAGGCAGGGAGGGACCCGAGAGGCCATCGTGAGAAGCGGGGCTGACACCCCACAGCAAACGTCCCTCGTCCACCTCTTCAGCCAAGTCTCATGCTTCTCTCCGGCGACTTCCACAGCCAGCAAACGGGGACAGCAACTGATAGTAACAATTATTTAAACTGAAAATCCTAGAGATCAAAATTGTGGCGCTGCTGAGTGCACCAGGATGGTGGATGTGACCAGCTGCCCGACAGGTAGCTTTCGGTACCAAGAGGTTTCCTCCACTGTATGGTGTGTAGATATATCACTCACACACACTCACATACACACAACACATGGGCCCTGTGTTTATTTCATAGGCTCCAAGGCTCTTTGATAAACGAGGGATCAACACAATAATATTTCAGAGAAACTGAAATTTACCACAAATGAATGTTTTTAAATTTTTCTGTACTTAGTTCTTCTTAACATCTACAAAACTTTGAAGTATGCCACCGCCCAATTGAAACTAAATGCATATGACATACATTTGCACCTCAGTCTTTTCTTGTGTAAATATATTCTCGTTTTGACCTTTCCGCTTGGGAGGAGGAGAGGCAGCCCATTAATCAGACATCCCCGCGGGTCCTTCCCGGCCGGGTCCGCATTAAGGGAACTGACTGGACGACTTCAGTGAGTGACACCCGCCGCCCGACAGCCTCGGCAGCAGAGCCGTGCTCCGAACTTACGTTGTCAGTGAACACGACTCCGAGTTTCCACATCTGATACTTCACGTCGATGGAGTTCAGTCTGGAAGGACAGAGGAGCGTGTGCGGACGTGCACGCAGAGCAGCCGCCTGCCCCGCCTCCCCGGGTGAGGGGGCACCGCCCGGGACAGTCCTACCCCAGGGGCCGGGACGCGCCCAGAGCTCCGAGGACCTGGCCCAGAGCTCCATGAGGCTGTGCTGGCGGGCTCTCGGGAAACAAAGAAAGAACGCCTTTCTTTTTCACCATCTCTTTTCCTACATTAAATATAAGGGCAACTCGCATCGTATGTGGCAGTTACTCCTGGAAACTGTCGCCTCAGTTAGCCATGCGGCCGAAGCATCCTCCCCGCGCTGCATGCACAGTCCCACAGAACAACGCTCAGGCCCAGATGCCTGGCTGAACACTCAGCGACTACAGCTACACCGATTGCCAAGGAAAGGGCCTTTCGTTCTGGTTTGTTTCCTTGTTTTCAGAAATCTCGCCTTCTCTACCCAAGAAGGAACTGCCCCTTCCCCTGGTGCCCACAGCTCTTTGCAGACGCTCCTGTCCTGTGTCCCCGGCACTTTCCTAGCTGGGTTGGGGGGGGGTGCTTCTGCCTCTCTGGCTAATCCGTGAGCTCCCCAGTGTCAGGCGCATCATCTCACACACTGAAAGTCTCAATAAACATCTGAAATGAATAAATCTTTACACAATTATTCATGACCTTTGTAGGTTAAAATGCACACATATAAAAATATATTTTTTATTTTTCATTGTTTTAGAACTTGCCACACTGATTTATGGGCTAGAAATTATGATACCTTTGTGAGCCCTTCCAATATTCCAGGTAACTGATATGACAGATGATACAATATTCTATAAAATAATATTATTTCCTAAAGGGCTCCTCTAGACTTACTGTTTTAATCTTTAATTATTTCTTTAATCATTTATTTTAATTAGGCCAATCTTAAATTACAAGTGCAAGAATAAGCAGCTGCCAATCAAAGCTCGCTTCTTAGACTTTTCCCTAATGGTTAAGGTTTAATTTACCTTAGTCTAGAATTTTTTTTAATTCTCACCTGAGGATATGTTTTCATTCATTTGAGAAAGAGAGAGCATGGGAGGGGGGGAGAAACACTGATGTGATAGAGAAACATGGATCTGCTGCCTCCTGTGCATGCGCCCTGACCAGGGATCGAACCCACCACCTTGTCATGTACCAGACAATGCGCCAACCAACTGAGCCACTTGGCCAGGGCAGCCTAGGATTGTTTTATTTGTAAGAAAAGTAAGTTGTCTTTGAACTATAATTAATTTATTATTAAAGAGCATTTTTTTAAAGTTCCATAAATATTTACAATGGGTTTTAACATAAGAATAACTTTTCTTAAATGAAAGGGGAAGAGATGGTAAAAACCAAGCAGCAGGGCATCAGCGTGAGAGTGAGAGCACGATCCTTTTCCCTGAATGCAGCCTAAAACAAAGCCGGGGCTTACATCAGGATGTCTGAGCTTCCTGCGGTAGTGTTTTGCTTTAATTTAAAAAATATTCTCATGATTATTTCCCCCCCATCACCCATCCCAGTGACGAGTTTGCTCTCAGCACCGCCAAGCAGCACGGCGCATGCCCTCTGCGGTTCGCGCTGACGCTGTGACGGTGGTGGTGGCAGTGAACCTGCGTGGGTGGGAACGGGGGGCTGACCTGGGCCAGTCAGGGGCAGTCCCTGGGCCACAGGTGGTTCCAGGAGACCAATAAGCCAGAAGCTGAGGAGTTTTGCCAGATGGTTCTGAGATATGAGTTCATGTACTCACCCCACACGTGTCTATGTGTGTGCATGAAAATCAATCTTCAGTGAATTCAATTCAACTCCTTTACATCATTTTAGTAAATCATCATATATCTTTACTTCCTTCCAGCATTAGATTAAAAGTACCTAATTTTAAAGTAAGTTTTCCAAATAATAAGGCAGTAGCATAGTATTTCTGACATACTAAGTCTTTGCTATTTAAATAAAATAATTATAGTTTTAAAAATGGACTTTGAACATTTCTATTAAAAGGACTCTATAGTTCCCTTTTTCAAAATTTAAGAAAATTAACTTTTCAAACAAGAAGTATCAGAAAACATAGTCATACATTGCACTTTTTGCATATGTTTTACTTTGACTTAAGTGGCATTTAAGGATAGAAAAGGCAAATTAAATTAAGAGTGTAATTTTTCTTTTGCTTTATGTAATACTGAAAAAGGCACCTTCAAAATTAATAGGAAAAAAATCCAATCATTCCATAGCTCGAAAGAGCCAGAGGCATGCACGCTGACTTTATGTGCACTCTGTGTTCCCTCGTCTCTCTAGTCCCCTGACACTAAGGGAAAGGAAGCCGAGGCTTCTGCAGGTTCAGGCAGTATTACAGTTTTCTCCTTTCAGCTGCGCACAGAGCAGAGGTGGCACTCACACAGCCGACAGGGAGCTGTCTTTCTTCGGCTTCTTCTTCTCCCGGGCATCGCTGAAGTCCAGGGCGGCTTTGTCCATGCCAAGCAGCTCACTAATTCTGTCCCGGCCATAGAACTCGCCATATTTATCCATAACCTACGAGACAGAAAGAAAACTCAACCATTAAGTAACCTCATCTATGTGTGTGCATACAACCATCTAATTATTTCTATAGTTACTAGATATTTGTCTTATTTTAAAGTTCACTTAGAAATCTAGTTCATGGCTGTGAACGCTGAGAAAAGAAAATACCTACTAAGGGGCTCTCAGTGGTTTAACTGTGTTCAAATTTTTAGTAAGAGCCAAGTAGCCGCTCCACGCAGGGCCCCGTGCACACGAGGTCAGGGGGGCCCTGCCCTGGGCCAGCCCTGACTGATGAGGCTCCTGCTCTCCTGGTTCAACCAACAGGGCTGCCTTTCCACCCAATCAAAGCTGGGCCGTTATATCCCACGAGCATCTTTACTGACCAATCAGAGCGGCTCCATTCTGACCAATCAGGACAGTGCTTTTTGGACCAATTGACCTGCAAGGATTTGTGGTCCTCACTTGCGTGAGGATGCACCAGTCAAGGGCAGGGCTTCTGTCTTAGGTCAGCTCCTTTCCCTTTTCACGGGAGACCGAAGACTGTTTCCTTAGCAGGAGCTGAAACGCCAAAGATGAAACACTGACAGGTCTCCCAGTGCAGAGCGGAGCAGAGCTGTCTAGCAGGAGGGGCCCTGCCCCAGGGCAGCCCCCAGCCCCAGCCGGGCTGCTTCGTAATGGAGCTGTAGCCCTACTGTGACGCTGCACAACCGTGCTGTTCCCACAGCTGTGCTGTATCAGCACTGAACTGTTTGCCTGGATAAAGCTTCCTTCTTCACTGCACCGCTAACTGGGAATTCCTGTTGGCGCTGAATGGCGCCAGGGACCATCTAAGGACGTGGCTCACTCCTCCCTGTGGTCACACTGCTTCAGGTCCGAGCAAAGTTACAGCGTTGTAAATAGCACCTATCGAGGATCAAGATTTCTAACACAAGAGAGGAAGGAAGGGAAGGAAGAGACGGGCTGGAGTACAGGGTGAAGAAGTGGGAGGAAGCGGAATAAAAGAAACATCTACCAAATTCATACTCTGCACCAGGAGTTACGCTAAGAACTTGGACGTGTTTCCCCTCAGGTGACTCCACCTCATGGAAGTTGTGTGTTACTGGCACCCCATTCTGCAGGTAAAGAAATGTGTCTTACAGAACATAACACGCCCAAGGACACTAAGCTTGGGACTAGACGGGGTTGGGAAGCACTGGGCAGAGCCAGACTCCCTTCTGCACAGACCACTGCAGGCCATGAGCTGGCCATTGCAGTAACGGCCCCTCCTGGGTCTGGACCCCCCTGTACTATCCCGACTCCAGCAATTCTTCAATAACACCTGGACGTGGGGCCTTGCCGCCACCCTCCGGTCCTCAGGTGAATACTGCTAGTGTGGATTCTGTGTGCGTCGCTGAAACCACTTCCTGGCACCCCCTCGGCTCCTTGCCCCTCTCTCCTTCTGTCATGTTTGCCTGGCTCTGCCCATGTGCCATGTTTTCAGATCAGTTCTTGGACATCCCAAACAACAGTGAAAAAGGGAGGCAACAGCCCTGGCAGGTGGCTCAGTTGGGTAGAGGGTTGCCCCATACACCAAAAGGCTGCCAGTTTGATTCCCAGTCATGGCACATGCCCAGGTTGCAGATTCCATCTCCGGTCGGGGTGCGTATGGGAGGCAATCAGTTGATGGCTCTCTTTCACATCGATGTCTCTCTCTTTCTCTCTCTCCCTTCCTCCCTTTAAAATCAATAAAAAACATATCCTCAGGAGAGAATTAAAACTAAATAAGAAAAACAAAGATGGGAGGAACCAGAAAAGGCAATTAACAAAGAGCAGGAGAGGAGAGAATTGGTAGCAAAGCGGGGGCAGGAAAGACGGACAGGAATGCAGAGAAACAGCAAATGAGAACAAGGGAGGGGGTTAAGGAGTTGAGTAGATGAAGGAAAAATACTAAGATGGGAAGAAAGAAGGGTTAGCAAGATAAACACAGGCCTTTTCTGGATGTGTGCAATCAGGTACAGGGAAAGAAAACATAAGAGAACAATGGTAGCTACAAACCTATGGACATAGGTTATTTAGGTCACTTGAGACAACTTGTTTGGCTTTCTTCTCGTGGCACTAAGAACCCTCAGGCTGATCTGAGGGGTTCCCTGTGGGCTGCGCTCTCACCCCACCCCCGGGGAAAGCTGGGTACAGAGAAGGCAGGCCATGGAGAGTCTGAGCTGCAATGACAATTTATCTCTTTATTTGACTGTGTTTTAACAATGTAGAAGCCTCTTTTTTTCTGTTAGCTAATGAAAGCAAAATATTCAAATCATCTATTTAAAATTATTTTAAAATTATTCTTTCAAAGCTTTTGTCTAAGCAGTCAGTCGCTCAATGCTACTCAAAAAGCCAGGTCTCAAGGAGATAAAAACTTGCACCAAAATAAAAATCAGCAGACACACTGCTTCTTTCAACTAGAAAGTCTTATTAAAATAAAAAGTCAGTGTGCTCAATGATGTACTTTATTTAAACTCCTGGTGCATGCCCTGGCTGGTGCGCTCAGTGGTAGAGTGTCAGCCTGCGCCCAAAGGGTCTCGGATTCGATCCCCAGCCTGGGTCAGGGCCTGTGAGGGAGGAAACCAATCAGTGTCTTTCTCATGCCTATGTTTCTCTCTCTCTCTCTCTCCCTCTCTCCCCCTCCCTCCCTTCCTTCTACTCTCTCTAAAAATCAATGGGAAAAATATCCTGGGGTGAGAATTAACAAAAAATAAAATAAATAAACTCCTGGTGCAAGCTCTGTATCTGCCCTCAAGTTGGTTAGAGAAGGTTTGTGGCTGCCTGTCACCAACCTCCATGTGAGCAGCACAGACCTGGCGGAATCAAAGGGGAAACCATTTTATGCAACAAGCACGTGTGGCCACTCCCTCCAGACTGGTGCCCACTGGAGCTCAGCTCCTGGGCACAGAGGGCGACGGAGTCAGTTTGGCCACTGGAGGGGCTCAAGGGGCAGTAGGAGCTAGAAAACAATGACTGCAGCACTCTACACTGTGCAGGGACTGCGACATACAGTATTTCATTTTAAAGGCGATCTACATTAAAGTCCTGTGTGGTAGGAAGGGCGGACATGACCCTTGACTCTCCAGGTCAGAGCTTTGTGCCACGGTGAGCAGCTGAGCTCCATCTCAGCTTCTTCCTAGCACCCTCTGATGTAGTCTGCATCAGAATAAAACCCACAAAGTAAGGTCTTTACAGTTTATATTAAGTAAATAAAACTCAGTTATTTGTTGCCAGGCAACTATTTTACCTCTCTAGTGTAAAGGAGGCCCCTACTCTGGTGATTTATCAGTTGTCTTAACAGCAAGGGGCCTTCCCCAGTGTGGGCCACCTGAGCAAGCTGAGGAAGTTCCCACCAGTTCTGGTTAAGGTGCGCCCACCGCAGTGTCACCTGTCAGGGCACAGGTGGCTGGAGCTGTGCTCACTCATTTTGTGGCTGAGAGCTGGGTTTCTCACGGGCAAGTGCTGAATTCACATTCAATTCTACTGCCCTCTGAAAGGACGCGCACAAGCACAGAGCGCACACTCAGGGCCTCGTTCTACACGTGAGCCACATCGGTTCAAATCTGAATTGTGCTTTAGGGAGAAAATAATGAATTTAGTCCTTCTAAGAAGTATTACCTTTCTTTTAACAAATTTGTCCCAGTAGTTGTTGGGAAATGACCTAAAAGATAGAAAAGCATAGAAGTAAAAAAGTATCCATTTTAAAATATAAATAACAAAATATTGTTTGAAATATTAAAAATATTTAAAATAATATGTAAACACAGTCTTCCACTCACAAACATTAGACTGCATTCGTTTCCCATTTTATCCTATAATTTTCTGCATCACAGGTACATCAAATATTATTTTAAATGTTAATATATAAATATATATACATAGGTAAACTCACAGAAAGGCTCTGAGCTAATGTTTTAATGTAGAAGAAATAAGCATTTATTAGTAAACTGTTCTGTCTTTTATTTACTTCTAATGTGTCAATACATAGATTGCTTTGTCAGGTGTCCTTAAAGTACCTAGAAACCTGTCATTGTTGTCCTGTGAAGTGAAAGAAATCTCACTGGCACCAGTTATCCTCAAGAAAACTGGATCATGGGACCAAGTGTGGCACTGGCACCTGGCTAGAACGGAGCTCGCCCAGCAGGACAGACCGAATGCGATTTAGTATTAACCGCCAGACTTGCTCAGCAAATCACGGAGCATTCAGAGCCAACATTTACTGTATTATCCACAAACAAATCGCCCCCGTTTGAAAACCCAGAACCCATTAGAAATGATAACTTCTTAAAAATAAGCAAAACTAATCATAATGAAAAAGAGGTATTTCCCCGAGTGCTGCAAACTACTCCAAAAACACTGCTTCACTACTCTCTCAATAGTGGAAAATTATGCTGAGGTGGGTTTACACCTGCACAGCACCAGGAGCATGGTCTTGCTCTTAGAAGGCTAAATAATTTGTGTAGAAAAAGTGTGACTCCTGTCTTGTTTCACAGGTCACAATGCTCAGCTGGATTTCTGCCACGCTGCCTAATGGCACCAACTGAGAGTTTACAACATAGGTACATTGAAAGTGTGAAATTCAGTATCTCTGCCTTAATGCCACAGCTACTTCCTTAATGAGCAGTTTTGCTCCTTCTGGGCTCTGGATCAGATAACCCTGTGCTGCGGGTTCCCTGCCCCAGCCGCACCCTTTCTGAGCACTGAGTGATGGGGGCTATGGGCCGGCCTCAAAGCCCCTCTGATTAAGGAATTCGGAACACAGAAGGCAAACACTGATGGCCTCCATCGGAAGGGACAGCGCTTAGCCTTTTGATTTTCTTGGCTGAATAAATACCCATTAATCACCTCTGCTAACCTCCGCCAGAGCTGCAGGAGACTCCAGCAAAGCACCTCATGTTCTGAAATCTTTGAGCACTGAAATGTCTCATATATTCTTTAATTCTTTACTCACTGTGTGTTGATCACGAGTCTATCCCACTGGCCTTTAATATCATCTTCTGAAGGCTGTTCTGTGATATAAAGCCCATCAAACTCCAATTTTCGAGCTACTTCCTTTTCACGCTTAAAAATAACCAGCGGGACCTACATTTGAGAAACAAACATGTTAAATCAGTTTAGATTTACTGGGATCTCCTGTGGTCACTATCACTACAAAACAGCTTTGGAAAGAAGTATTTCCCATGTTACTTCCAGCAAGGTAAAGACTGAATGAAAGTGAATCAGCTAGATTTAGGCAGAACAAAGCATCTGGTTTTGGAAAACAGGAAACAGAACGGGCATTATATCTCTGCCTGTGTTTTTAAATACAAGTTCCTGGGTAACTGCACTAGTGAAGTCCCTTTTAAATATTAAAAAGAAAAAAATTATACAGAAAGGTTTTTCTTTAGCGTATTATAGATACATACATACGATGAAATGGGGCAATAAATATAATAATTTACTAGGGTTCAGAATGCATGCTTTATTTAAAAATGCAGTTTTATTTGAGGAATCTCTTAATATTCCCTTGCTCAGCGTGCCCACATTTTGAAATAATTTTTTATTTCAACATCAGGAAAACTCTTTGTCCACATTTAGATGTCTCCAGAACATTCTGACTCCCTTTTCATATGCACAGACTTTACACAAGAAAGATGCAGACCTCTGGAAGCATCCGAGAACATCCCCTTAAAACAAGGGAAGAGGGATGGAGAGGAGTTTTGAAGAAGCTGCACCCTGCCTGCCGCCTGGTCCTGGGTCTGGAGAGGTTCTTGCTGCCGGGCGGAGGCAGGGACAACGCAGGGGTCAGTGCAGGGAGGGGGCCTCTTGCAAGGAAAGAATGAAGCAGTTCACAGGGAAATAGGCAGCCCTGGCTCTCAGGCTCCCTCCCGGGTGCCATTCACCCAATGAACCTGTTGTTCCCTGCAGGGGTTCTGGGAGCTGCATTATCTCGGGGAAGTGAGACAAACTGGAAGCATTTCCGCCCAGGAGGGCAGCAGACAGGTCTTTAGTATCAGAACAGTCGACAGTGACGCGAGGTGTGAAGGCCGCGGCCTCTGATTCCTAATACAGGGAGCACTGCTGGGAGACAGCGACTGGGTCGCTTCTGGGGGGCGTTACAGGCGAAACTGGTCATTATGTGAACCTTCCCAACGTGTGAAAGAAAGCTACAGCGAGACCACCCCAGGCCATGCCCCCTCCCGGGGCAGCCTGCGGCCAGCGCCTGGGGAGCGTGGAGTCCCCACGCCAGGCCCAGGACACGCCTGCAGGCCCCGCGCCTCCCAGAGCGAGCTCGTGCCTGCCCGGCAGCCCCCCTTTCCCTCCGCTGCCTCCTGCTCCCCCCACTTCCCACAGGAGCTGGTTTCTGGAACATTCCAGGATGAGCTCTGTGCCTGTCACGCCGCCTTAGAATCTGCTTCCCCAGAAGTCTGACCGGCGACAGGCGCAGGAGCCCGCCCTCCGACTTACTTTCAGGCAGTAGTAGCCGATGATGCAGAAAAAGGAGATGACCGTGTGCAGCACGGCCAGGACGCGCAGCGCGGGCTCCATGTAGCCGCTGCTCTCCTCCAGCACGTAGTGCACCGCGAGGACGCCGGGCGCGCCCCCGTCCAGGCTGCTGGCCCGGGCGCTCCCGCCTGAGCTGCGAGGGGGGGGCTCCTTTCCTTCAACCACAGAAGAAGTGGAGACCTGATTCAAGCCATTGAAAGCGCAGTCAGTTCACTCCCTCCAAGGTACTGGTGCCAACAAGACACAGCGGAAGCCCAGCCTCGTCCACAGTCAGCGGCCGCGAAGGCCCGCGCAGCGCGAGGACGGCTCCCCACCAACGGCAGGCACTGGGCGCCGCGCCTCCTGCTAAGGACCCAGCGCTAGGCGGGTGGGCACAGGGGGCCGTGAGGTGGCTGTGCTGCCTTCTCGTGCGCAGAAGGCCTGACTGTGACACACCGAGCCACCAGTGAGGTCAGCCACATGGGCTGGGAGCAGCCGCGAGCCCCGCCCGAGCGAACTCTCACTGCGCTGGAGGAAGGAACCTGTCCCCGCCGCACAATCAGGGCCAGGCCTCAGCTTTAGGTTTCTCTCCCACCAAAACCCATGCCGGAGCAGGGCTAGAGGGCTCACTAGCGGGTCTGGGACACCTTTACATCGGTCCAGGCTGCCTACAGCGTCGGGCTGTGAGCAAAAGACTGAGGCGCACGCACCTTATAGAACAGCAAGATGAAGTTGATGGCAAAGGCGACCAGCAAGGCTAACATCCTCATGTTGTAGAAGTTGCGAGCAAAATAGTTCTGAAGGTGAAAGATTAAAAGGTCAATGAATCAAGAGACTTGAAGTTTGCAGACACTGAAATAAAGCATCGTTTGTTTATCCAAACTACTTCCCGAGCCCTGAGCATGTACTGAGCACCATTCTCCAGACTGAGTTAGGAAATCTGAGCCACCAGGGAGGAGACCAGTGATAAAGCCGCACACCCATAGATGAGACGAAGTTCAGGGAGTGCTCAGTGCTGCAGGAGACATGGGCCTGGGGACTGGGTGCTGGAGCAGAGGCCTGAGTGCCTCAGGGGCAAGTCCAGAGAACAGCTGAGGAACAAGTGGCGTGAGAGACAAGCATGCAGGGTGAAGCCGAGTTCAGATGCTGTGGGTGCCTCTGAGGGTGGAAAGGAGGCCAGTGAGGAGGGAGCCCGGGAGGGCTGGGGTCAGAGGTGGGCCAGGCGAGCTCTGCAGGCCCCTGATGAGGTCTGTGTGGGGTCTGTGATCTCCGGAGCCTGCCAGGGGGATGTGCACAGGCAACCTAATGACTGCTGTAGCATCATTTCCCTCGTCTGCGAAGTGCGGATAAAACAGAAGTATTCTCGTAAGTTCGCTGTGAGGATAAGATACGCTAACAGAGGAAAGCTTGCTGTGAATCTTGGTATTGTAATTGTAATTATTTTGTTCTAGGAGGATCTGAGGAGGGCTTGATGCCATCAGCTGCTGAGTTGGAAAGATTATTCCAGAGTCTGTGTGGAAAACAGAGGAGGCCAGAGTGGCAGCAGGTGCAGAGAGAGAGAGCACTGCCGGCGCAGGCTGGCACGGTGGGCGCCACGGAGACTGGAAGCTGGGCAGAAGTACTGGGAAGGCACTGCTGAGAAGAACTGCCGTTGGAGTGTATTTGAGGTGGGAAGAGAGACAGAACTCAGGGGATAACTTCTGGATTTGGGGGTCTTAGCAACTAAGTAAATGGTTGAGCTGAACAAAACCTGGAGAAGTGGGTTTCAGGAAAAGGCTGAGAAAGGTCAGCATGTGTTTTAATGTTAAGCGGGAGGTCTCTGCAGGTGTGCCAGTGGATACACCAGGGGCCGGAGCGTCAAGGCCGCATCACTGTGATGACACACCTCGCGTCCCTCTCTGCACACAGGCCATGCTGGTGGTGTCCTTCCCACAGGGGACTCTGCCTTCACTGCCACAGCTCACTGGACCATGGGGGCCGCCACACCCAAACTGGGCCAGTCACCCCAGCTCACCCCAAAGGCAGAACTGGGTCAGAGAGGCTGTCAGTCACCCTGGCTGTCTGAGCTGGGAGGTGAGAGTCCTGGGGACACAGGGCCTGTGGTAGCCTGAGGTGACCATGACCAGTCTCGTGGATGCAACCTGGTGAGCAGAGAAAGCCACCGTGCAGAGCCTCCTGCCCCACCTGCAGCCTCACCAGCAGCCCTGGCAACTGTCAGAACTCCCCAAGCTGGTGACCACCCAGCATTTTCTAGAACACGTGTACACTCAGTGTGCTCTGTACTCACTAGACAGGGACAGTACAGAGAGCTAAGAAAACATAGTTGAAACTATCGGTATCACACACATATTTGCCTAAATCATATAAAATGTGTCTTCTATGTACACACAGCACCAGGATATTTAATCTCTGGATAGTCACTTCCCTCATAGGAGGCTCCTAAGCCACCGAGTTTCTTCACTGCTTCTGGTACCCAAGGGCTGTAAGTCACCAAGTGTGACTGAGCCGCTTGAGTGGTATGAAAATGCGGAGTGTTGGGCTTGCCTCCAGGTCTGACGTGACCAGTCAGCACCTCTGGTAGGTTTATTCTACACACTCACCCCAAACTTCCAGCTATAAAATTATGTATAATGTAGGGTGGGGCAAAAGTAGGCTTACAGTTGTCTGTATGGAAAATAGTACAATAATTAATAAATAATAGCACACGAATAAGCTCCGTGTTTCAGGTACTCACAACTGTAGACCTACTTTTGCCCACCCTGTATCTATACACATGCACATACCAAAGGCCACTCAAACTAAATTTTTATGAATTCCATCCTGAATGGATACAAGCTGAGACAGAATAGGGACTGCCTTCTCTATTTTCCAAATATGAATATGTATTTTATTAAGTGGGGAGCATTTCTGAAAAATGTGTAGGACACTACATAGAGACCTATCTTTTTTCACTTCATTCTGTCATTTTTTTTTAACTTATTTCTATTTAAAGAATAATTCTGAATAGACCTTCTAAGCAATGCAGTTGGCTCACTGCATTGATACTCCTATAACTGGGTTTTTAATAAGAGGGTGATGTCCAGGAACACTGGGCAGCCCACGCAGGACAGCACTATGTACACCTGCACCGAAGGCTATGGCCCTTGGCCTGACCACAGAGTCTGCGCAGTGGCCTGCGGTGGGCTTGGGGATCTGCCCGGGCCGTCCTATCTCTGTGGGAGACACTGGGGAGGCAGCCACTATATCCAGAGGTCTTGGTTATGTGAACGAGTGCTGAGCTCACGGGTGTGACCACAGGGAGCAAACCAAACATACTTGCAGGGCCAACGTGGCTCCCTGATTGCCACCCAGGGGAGGCCCCGGGTACTTGCTGAGCCTGAGTTATCAGGTCTCGTAAGTTATCACATCAGCATTCCCCCTAAAGCACTCACCAGCAGCTTCTGCTGATAAGCTATGATCTTCTTCCAGAACACCGACTCGGGCGCCTCTGGCTCCCCGTATCTGTGCGTGTGGATCAGCCGGAGCTTCTGTCTGTCCTTCCCCTCCTTGGCCTTCTCTTCTTTTTCTCCGCCTTCTCCCCTGTGAACACAGACAAGTAAACATAAGCCACCCAGGAACTAAAGAGCAAACAGGTTTTGGGCCAAAATATACAAACAAACAAATACTTAAACCACAGTATCACTTTTGAAAACTTCCTCTTCCAATGAACTGTAATATTCAGAATTTTAGAATTCGGGGTTGGATTCATGTTGCCGTGGCCTCCTGCAGGAGGGCAATTCTGTGACATTCAAACCTAAACGGCATTTTACAGCCAGAGTGTCTCTATCACATGTAGCATGTCCCTTCCAACCGTGCAGTAAAACACCACACAGAGGAGACTAACCGTGAGAACCCCCAGCCCACCTCACCTGCAAATTATGGTTTTAACAGCCAATCTCTAAGTGACTAGCCTTTAGGACTAATCATCAGAGACATGCATTTGGTTGTTCACATACATAAAAGATGCCAGTATATTAATTTTTCAGGTAATAATGAAAGTAGAAGCACTAAAACTTGCTACCTGAAAGCCCTCTAGCTGCAGAATACCAGTCCTCCATGGAAGCTTGTTTGTGTACGTGAGCTCACATACTCAGGATCCACTTACATGTAACCCACCCCAACCTCACCCATGTGAGGGGCATCTCATACTATTTTTAATATTAAACAACTGCCACTGAAATGACAGCTGCCCTGCCTGTGTCTGCATTTCCACAACAGTCATCCTGTGGCCACATTCACAACTGGCCCAACAGTACAAGCTCCGTGACTGCAAGAAATGACAAAGAAATAACAGAATGGAGGAGGGAAATAAAACACCATGTGCAAATAGGGCACTATAGGCCCTTAAAAACCTGATTTCCCCAATTTTTAAAAATGTGCATATAAAATTTAAACTTGGGGAAAGGGGCAAGTTTCAACTGGAACAAAGCCATTGCGGGGAGGAGACTGTACACCTTCCTTGTTCACCTCAGCTCTGCCTTTCCGGCTGCTGGGCCTACACCCCTGCTGCAGGGTGCTGGCGAGATGAAGACCCCGAGTCCCTGCCACCTGCTGAGTCAGCATCTCCAGGGCGGGCCCAGGAGTCCGTGTGTCTTATGCCTGTGGCCCCTGACTAGCTCAGAGGGACACACTCCTTAAGGACCTCAGCAATGGCAAGGGCAGAATCGCATGTGCAGTCAAACCAGAGCTGAGCCCTCGGCTCTGTGGGCGCATCAGGGTTTCTCTGCGTGGGACACACAGGGAGAAGGAACGGGAGGGCGAGGCTGGCCTGGCGCCCAGCAGCACCGCCCACATTGGTGCCCCAGCATGGTGGTCCTGGCGCCCAACCTGTCGCGGAGAGGACAGAGGCCTCCACCCTGTGCCCTGAGGAGGGCGCGCAGGGAGCAGGAAAGGACAGGAAACCACACGTACTCGGCTTTCTCAGGTTCCGACTTGTTTTCTTCTGTCTCTTCCTTTCCTTCCTCTTTGGCCTCCTGCTCCTTGAAAGTAAAGGGGGGGACACAAGCAGGTCACACATCTCCTCTGGACGAGTTTAGGGAGCCCTGCCCCAGCTGGCAAACTGGGACCTAAAACGACCCCCGCCTCTGTGGAGACAGCTCCCTCCCGCACACGAGCCTCCTGGGCGCCCCGCTCCCCTCTTTTCAGAAACACTGCCCTTACCTCACCCACCCGCTCAGACCTCACTCAGCCTCAAGGCAGCCCAGTCCCGCTGGGCAGATCTCTAACCGCTGCCCGCTGCCCTGGCCCTGCCTTCTCTCCGTCCACGAGCACTGAGTGAGGTCCTGTCCTGTCCTGTCCGTCAGAGTTAGATCCCTTCCTAATCACTCCCCCAGGCCACTGGGAGGCCCTGGGCACGGCCCCTCCTTCTCTTCATTCCCCACCCCGCAGTGTGAGCCCCGCTGTGAAGGGGGGCGCCTGTGGGTGGATGGCCTGCTTCGCCGCCTGGTCCCCTGGGGGTGTGCTTGTGTCACACCCAGTAGTTTAAGGTAAATCAGCAACTTGTGAAGAGCCTTCAAGAGCTGGCTCTGCTGACCAAGGGGCCGATTCTCTCTGGAACCTCAGGGCGTCGGGCCTGCACCCGCGCCCGCGCCCATCTACAGCTCCCTGGGTGCCCTGGGAGCTGCTGCTGCTGAGATTAGTTACCTGAACCTTTTCCTGCCCCTCGGGAAGGGGCGCAGGGCTGCCCATGAGGTCGCCCAGGCCAGCATTCGGGTTGTGAGGCATGAGTTTGTACTGCCCTCCCTCTCTCTTCAGGTCCAAGCCAAATATGTCCGAGAGCAGGTCACTCTCCTCAGTCAGCTCCTTCAGGTCCGCGAGGTCCTCCGAGGGCAGGGCGGCCTCCAGGGGCTTCCTCTCGCCCTCCTCCCCATCCCCCCTCACCTCGTCCTGCGTGGGGTCCGGCATGTTGGCCAAGAGCTCCGCCACCTTGATCTTCTTGGCGCCTTCCACCAGGCTGCCCCCCAGGAGCAGGCCCCCCACAATGCGAGAGAAGCCCCTGAGCACGCTCGCCACGACGTGCAGCAGGCCGGTCACAGCGCCCCAGTAGGAGGAGAAGAGCCCAGTGACCATGTCCCTCACTGTCATCTTCTTCACCTTCTTCAGCTGCTTCTTCAGGCTCTTGAGGCTGAGCATGCGCAGAAGGGCCAGCAGGTTGTGCCTGAGAGCCACCAGGGCCGCCCGGACGGTCAGGACGGAGAAGAACCCCACCCTCGGGCCCTGCTCCTCCGGCTTCTCCTTCTCACTCTCCTCCTTGCTGGCTGACCTCTCGTTCAGGTCCGACTCTGAGATCNTGGGCCTGCACCCGCACCCGCGCCCGCGCCCATCTACAGCTCCCTGGGTGCCCTGGGAGCTGCTGCTGCTGAGATTAGTTACCTGAACCTTTTCCTGCCCCTCGGGAAGGGGCGCAGGGCTGCCCATGAGGTCGCCCAGGCCAGCATTCGGGTTGTGAGGCATGAGTTTGTACTGCCCTCCCTCTCTCTTCAGGTCCAAGCCAAATATGTCCGAGAGCAGGTCACTCTCCTCAGTCAGCTCCTTCAGGTCCGCGAGGTCCTCCGAGGGCAGGGCGGCCTCCAGGGGCTTCCTCTCGCCCTCCTCCCCATCCCCCCTCACCTCGTCCTGCGTGGGGTCCGGCATGTTGGCCAAGAGCTCCGCCACCTTGATCTTCTTGGCGCCTTCCACCAGGCTGCCCCCCAGGAGCAGGCCCCCCACAATGCGAGAGAAGCCCCTGAGCACGCTCGCCACGACGTGCAGCAGGCCGGTCACAGCGCCCCAGTAGGAGGAGAAGAGCCCAGTGACCATGTCCCTCACTGTCATCTTCTTCACCTTCTTCAGCTGCTTCTTCAGGCTCTTGAGGCTGAGCATGCGCAGAAGGGCCAGCAGGTTGTGCCTGAGAGCCACCAGGGCCGCCCGGACGGTCAGGACGGAGAAGAACCCCACCCTCGGGCCCTGCTCCTCCGGCTTCTCCTTCTCACTCTCCTCCTTGCTGGCTGACCTCTCGTTCAGGTCCGACTCTGAGATCTGGGCCGCCAGCTGCATCTCAAAGATGGTGTCCTCGCAGAAGTTCACGAACAGCTCCATCTTCTCCTTCTCGCCGCCCTCGTTGACCACGTCAAAAATGAACTGCCTCTTGGACTCCTTGACCTGGGGCTTCTCCCACTGCGTGCGGCTGGACTCGCTGATCTCGAAGTACACCCTCTCGATGCGCTTGGCGCTGCCCATGATCTCGATGCGGCCCAGGAAGGGCTGGAAGTAGTTGAGCACGCTCTCCGCCAGCTCCAGGAAGGTCTGCAGCCGCGAGTCGTTGGGCATGTGCTCCGAAAGGTTCGTCAGCAGGACGGCCACGTTGAAGCTGATGTCCTTCGCGGGCTCGTGGAACCTTTTGACAAACTCCTCGTAGTCCAGGGTTTCGTTTTCATCCGTCTCCGCACAGGACAGGAGGAACTCGGTCTCCGACGGCGTGTAGTGCTTGTGGCTTTCCATCGCCTTGTGGAAGTCCCTCTTGGAGATGACTCCCTTGCCATCGGGGTCGTATTCCTTAAATGTATCAGAAGATGTCAAATCTTTTAGTTTTAAGAACATATCGAAGAACTTGAGGATCATCTCCACGTTGTTGGAAGACTCCACGAGCATGTCGACCATCTGCTTGCCGATGGTTCCATTCACAACGTTACCTGTGGCAGAGAACGGCGCCTGTTTAAAATGAGCGCTGCTGATAAAACGGGTGTCTACAGAGGCAACACCAGTGCAGATCCCTCAGGACACCGAGGCGAGCACAGCTCCTGTGCGTCTTCCAGTGGAGCCTCGGAAAAGCCAGATGACCGCCGTGACCACACAAACCGTGAAAAGCCATACTGACAATGTAATTATACTAATAACCACAGAAAAACACCTGAACAAAAGCCAGCCTTCTCCCCTCAGATTGGTCAAAGCAGCAATGTTTTAGGGTACAGAAAATGGGCACACTTATATCCTAAAGCCAGAGACTGAAACCCAAACCCATTAACAATAAAAATGAGCATTTACACAGCCCTTCGGGGTTGAAAAATCATTTGTCATAGGCTATGCCTGAGGTACTGTTCATTATTCTGACTTTATTACTGAGGAAATGCGGTTAGCAAAGTAAGTTAACCTGCTCAGACCCTGAGACAAGGGTGCCCTTTCTCTTGTGAAATGTGAGCTCTCTTGCATCTCTTCACGGCCCAGAAAGTTTACAGTTAGAAGTGGCAGACCCACAGGCTGGACTTCCTCCAGGTGCCTGAATTAATCCCTACGGAGTCAAACAAGTGACATCTTCACCCGGGCCCAGAGGAGCCTTCCCTTTGGGCAGCACCAGGGAAGGAAAAGCAGTGCTGTGAAGGCTGCGGGCTCATCCCACTGACGCGTAACCTGAGAGACCTGGGTTTCTCTTTTCAAAAACTAACTTGAGGGAAGATTATAAAGCCCCCAATAAATCCAGGCATCCATCACCTCTCAGCGTGGGAGTTTATTTCTTTGCAGGATGCTGAAATATTGATCCTTAAAATAAACGGATAAAGGCAACTGGGATATGTACAATATAAACCTGAATGGAAGTGAAGTCGAAACTACCTTCCAGCATGGACAGCAGCATGACCACCATGTCCTTCTGAAGGTCCATCAGTTCTTTCAGTAGCTCAATTTGACTGGAATCCTGGAAACAGTGACATATTGCACGTGAGACCATATGAAGCACCGCCCCGCCCACAGTGACCACCTCACGGCATCGCAGGACCAAAGAGGAGGCGGAGATAAGCATGCAGCTTATTAAAACCGTCCACCTCAGAATAAAGAGTATTTGCAGTTGACTCCAACTCCCGCTTACCATGGTGTTTGCAACGACACGAGCAAGTCTAAGGACACAGAGGGGCTGGCAGTGGTGGGCCGCGCAGGCAGGACCCAGGGGCCCCGCACATCCCACGGCCCCCCACGGAAAAGTCTGTCAGGCCTCCTTTCTTCTCCTTTTTAACTGATTATACAAAGATGTTGTATATTTTGTAAAAATTAACTTATCCTGAGAAAAAATGTAAATGATATGAGATAAACTTACTTTACATAAATCGAGCCAAAAGTGTACATGAGTGTTACCTGCACTCCCGGGGTACAATGTATCTGACTTACCAGCTTCATTAAGCGCTCTGATATTTCTGTTAACATTCTGTGGATTTGTTTTTATTTTTTCACCATGAAAATTTGTTTTACACAAATGTGCTGGGTCTAAACCTTGCCATGCCTGAAGTGCGGAGCCAGCTCCATGCACATCACAACTGCAGCTGGGAATTCTGCACACGAAGCTAAGTTTCTACGCTGCTGGGACAACGAGGTGCTGTCTTTCTACAGCTGTCACCGTGACCAAGTCTCTAGCTGCTAGGTAGCACCGGGTATTAGTGAAATCTGGAAATATATCAGAATGAGAACTGTCTTGTATGTGTATAACTGCATATTGACAAAGATCCTCTCTTTGGTCAAACTCTATCCAGCTCTCTTCTCAATATCCGTATACAAAGAGTTGAATGAACACACAGTTTCTAACAGCTCAGGACCACATCCCTGGGAGGACCCTGCCCCTCAACTGCCTCTCTGAGAAAAGCCGAGGCTGCCAAAAAATTTACTTTTCTTTCCATCCAACACCCAAGGACAGCCTCCGACCCTCAGTCTCCGGGGAGAGTGGGAGCCTCACTTCTCTAACTGCCACCTGGCAGACACAGCTGCCCTAAGGACTGACACTGACCAACCCTTGGTGCGCTTTCACTCCCTGACTGCTGACCCTGCCCATCCCCACCCCCATCCCCTCTCTCTCCCTTTAAGATACTCAGTCCCCTCTGTACAATCAGTGGAGGGGAGTTCACACTGGGCTTGTCCCTGTGGCAACAGGTGGTCTGTCCTGACCACTTTAACCAGAGCTCAGCTTTGTTATGTCTGACCACAAGCTCCCGCTGCAGGCCAGGGTGGGGTGAGGCTCCTCCCGGGACACGTGACAAGCTTCTGACTTATGATGCAGCATTCTTTCCTCCACCTGACACCTGGCAAATACCATGCCTCAGATATGTCAGCTCTCAGGACACCGAGCAAAACCCACCACTTAAAATAACAGATTTACTCAAGATTTATAGTAAGGATTTTTCTATTCGTGTATCTCTTAGCTTCAAATGAGACAGACACAGTAGTGAGAAAACCACGCTGGTATTTTCAACATGTGCTCCCAAATTAACATCAGAGCACAGTGGACAATCTATTTTTATTGGCTTATCCTTAGAGGTGCTTTTTTCTTCTGACTTTCTCGAAGCTAAATTTCCTGTTAGTGGGTGCATTCCATTTATTGAGAACAGCCGCTTGTGTGGACCCCATAAGAAAACCCTCTCCCTTCAATACGGACTCAGATTTCAGATGTTTCCACTTATCTGCAGGGAGGAGGGAACTTTGGTGAGTAACCTTGGAGAAGTGGGTCTTTGAAGGACTGTAAATGTTCTGTGCTGGGGACTAAACTCTTACTTCTCCATATAGTCAAGTCTTTTATATCTTTTGTTCTCAAACTTGAATAATCGCTCCCATCTATTCTCAGCTTGCATAAAATTCTTATTTTATACTTTATTTTATTTTATTTTTAATCCTCTCCCGAGGACATGTTTTCACTGATTCAAGAGAGAGAGAGAAGAAGGGGGAGGGAGAGAAGGGGGTGAGGGGAGAAATGTCAATCAGTTGCCTCCCAACCCGGGATTGAACTAGTCACCTGGGTATGTGCTCTGACCAGAAATTGAACCAGCAACCTCTTGATGCTCCAACTAACTGAACCATACCAGCCAGGGTGCATAAAATTCTTTTGTTTAAGAAAATGCTTTTTAATGTACAGTAAAAGATGTATAAAGAAATGATCTAAAGAAGGCAGTGTTCAAACAAAGGAAAGCATGCTTAATTTGCCAATGATTACTGTCCCTGGCATCATTTAGGATGGTGGACGGTGGACTCTTTACCTGAGACAGCTTCATCTGCATGTGGGCGAATACGTGGAGGAAGCCCACCACCGCGTCCCAGAGCCTGCTGTGGGCCAGGCTCTGCTGATTCCCAGTGCAGGGACCCTATGGGAAACAGACCAACACATCACTTCTGATAGCTTAAGGGCAAAACAAACTTCACAACAGCTTGTCACCTGACAAGAAACCCCAACAGGAAAGATGCACAGTGATGGTAATGGCACCTTTAGGAGATAAGCACACCCTTCTTTGAAATGTTTAATATAATAAATCCCCAAAAGTGCCCCAAGGATTTTCATGTTCTGTTTCTGTATAAACAATGGAACATTGACAAAAAAGGTGAATCATTTCGTCTGGCTGTGGTTTCTATTTAGAGAAGGCGGTTAAGTGAAATCGATCAGCATTTATTACCATGGATGAAAAGAATCTGAGATTATGTTTAAAATGGGAGAGCAACACTGCTTAGTGCTAAATAGTACCCTGGATAAAGCGTTTGTACAGAGACAAGCTCCTCTTCAATGCCCTCTTCATGGTTCAGCTGCCTCTCCAATCATACAGATAAGGCATTTTAAGAGATTAATACTTTAGTGTGGGTGAAAGGGGTCTGTAATAAAGCTGACAAGTTCAGTGTCAGAGTAGCCTCCCAGGGGGATCTGATCATAAATTCCTGACTGGGCGGGTCCTGGTGGGCAGTCACGCCGCAGGCATATAACTTCTTTAGTAAAAGTTTATCTTTGCCTTAAGCAGCCCCATCCATTGCTCATGCATCTAGGACAACACCCCTTTGAAATGCCAAGAGTAACCCTCTTTTCCAGACCCCTCAGGGCTTAACTGCCCTCAAGTGAGCAGTCATTTCAGCTATCCTGTAATTCAAGCCCCAGATGTGCTTTCTGGAAACCACCTTTGTGTGTGTGATCTTCCTTAAATTACCTCCTTAATTCCACATACATAACAGAAACTGCAAAACTGTTGTTGTCCAGAGCATTGGGCTCAAATAAACTCTCATGAAATTTTTCTACAGGCCTGGATGTTTCTTACATCAACATTAGTCATTAGCTTTATAAACCCAGAATCCAAGACAATCAGAGCCTACCTACTCTCTAAGCTTACACTTCAGGAGATCCTTATGTGGCAACATGGTGTGTGGGAGTGTGGGAGGCAGTTAGACAGACTGAGCAGAGCAAGGGCGATGGGCCAGGTACAGCCGGTCATCAAGGTGGAAAACCCCAGGCGCCTAGCAACCAACAATTGTAGGGTGGGACCTCGCCCCCAGGGTGGCCTTTCCTCCTAGCACACTGCTGGTCATGTGGTTTGGCCCCCGGACCTTTCCTCCCTCAAGAAAACATCTAGGCCTCAGTTGTATCTCAGCTACAGGCTCAGAAAAGCAACAAAACCAACCACAGCTGACCTCAGGACCAGTTACATTAGATAAAGACCACCCCAATCACCCAACAGGGGCCAATCAATCAGTGAAGCCCACAACCCTAAAAGGACACGCCTGGAAAACTGCTGAATGTTGTATTAAGATCTTCCCCTGGGGCCTCCCCTAAAATCTCTTCCCTTAAAGCCCTTAGGACAGAGGACCCAGCTCACTCTCCCTCCTGGGAGCTCACCCTCGCCTTCCCCTCCCCTGCCAGGCGAGTTACCATTACCTTCCTCTCTCCCAAGCTCCAAGGGCCCTTCCTTTGCCTCTATAATTTGTTTCCAAAGCCCATTTCTTCTAGGAATTACTTTTTCTACCTCTATAATTTTATAAAACATGTCCTCTTATAGTCTGAGTCTTGACTCTGAATTCTTTCCTAGACAGAACCCAAGTACCCAGGTTGCTGAACCCAGGTCCAGGGTGACCCCTCAGGTCTAACTCCTGGTGCTGTTCCCACCGCCTACAACAGTAGCAGGTAGAAGGTTTGCATGGAGACAATTTCTATTTTTACTTCCCAAGGGAAAATTATATAACCTCTAAGTTTTGTAAACAACCACATCAACCAGAGACGTAATAGGGATTTTATTTTTAAAAAATAGATACACAACACAGTTCCTAATTTCCAAACCATCCCTTCCTTTAAAGTCTAAAGTTTAGAGGGATGACTCCTAACGAGTATATATTAGAGAGCATTAAGACACTCCAGAGGTTACTCCAGAATCAGTGCCTGGGAGAGATGGCGGCACTGCAGACACTGATGAGGTACAACAGGACTTTGTCCTGTCTCGGCCTCTGCTGAGCCCCCGCAGCTGGGAATAAATGAAGGGAGACTGAGCAGGTCTTCCACCCCAAGGATGTGAAGGGGCTGAAGTTGAGAGCGGATGCTGGAGCGAGTTCTTGTGCAGTCCGCCCCCTCCACCCCTGCGACCGTGGGAGGCCAGGGCTGCTTCTCCAGCCCTTGGCACCGGGGACAGATGAGACATCAGGAGAACCCGCCAAGTTGGGTGCATAAGGTTTGATATTAGAACAGGTGAAGGAGAGACAGGTGACAAAAACAGGTGTTTCTTTTATGTCTACTCAGGAGGGAAGAACCTGCTCAAACATTGCCCTGCAAGAGTGTCTGAAGGGGTGATGAGATTCCAAGGCAGTGGGCCCCCCAGATTATTCAGAATAATCAGAAACTGGGCAGGAAAAGAGGCATTTCCATGCCCTGAAGGCAGTAAGAGGGCAGGTCCAGGCGAGTCCTGGAGACCCCGCCTCCCCCACTCTTCCTCCCTCCCCAGGTACAAACCCAAAGAAGCCTGAGGCTGAGGGACTTGGACAGATGGAAGAGGAGGAGCCCAGGTCCCTGCTGCCCTCCCCTCTCCCCTGCCCCCCTGAGGCCTTCCCAGCAGGGAGTCAGCCTAGGACAAGGGGAGGTTTCAGTTGAACAGGAATGAAGTAGCTGTGCCACTGTCCTACCCCTGAAGAGAGGTGACAAAGCGCCCCAAGGGATTTTATTGATCTGAGCGTGGCCAGTGCTCAAAAGCCAATGAAGACCGCCAAAGAAACAGTCCCCAGAACACGTCTGAAGAGACAGTACTGGGAAGGAATGAGGTGCTTTAACATTCTGGTGAGTTCAGTTCACAAAGCCAGCCAGGCGGTGGCACTTTGGCAGTGGACATCAGTCTGTCTGGCTGTTACAGTCTCTCTGGATTCAGAGCAGGGGACCTTTAGGTTTCCTGTGGGTCAAGTCCAGGCCAAGGACCTTCAGGTTTCCTGTGGGTCAAGTCTAGGCCAAGGACCTTCAGGACTCCCTGTGGTCAAGTCCAGGCCGGTGCTGACTTACCTGACCCACTAAACGCAATACTGTGCCTGACCTATGAGGGTGACAAATGTTAGTGTTGGGGAAAGCTGGGCAAATCCCACATGGAAGCTCTTGTACTGTCCTTGTAACCTTTCTATATAGCCAAAGTTACCCCAAATAAGTTCTTATTAAAATGTACTTTAAGCCCTGCTCCTCTGCCTGCTGCCCTGAATGTTCATGTAACAAGTTAAAGGAAAGAATTTCGCACACAGTGAAAGATTAGTGGGGCTCCTGGTTTTACATAAATTCAGGAACCTGACTCATGTTAGGAACCAAGAAATGCCCACTCTTAGCTGAATATTTCGTTCATTCTATAGATACCATTTTCCCGACTGTTCCCTAACCTTCGCCAGCTTGCTAATGTTGCCAGTTAATCTCACTTAATCAGTGCAGGTCACACTAAGGAGAGTAATATCTTCTAGACGCGGACGGGAGTATTAAGCCACAGTGGAAGCGGGGAGGTGAGGAAATAGAAACGAGAGTGAACTGAACCTGATTTAAAATTCGCTCTGACTTGGTTTAAAGCAAAGTTATTAGGATGATGTGTGGCTTTTCCATTCTGAAATGCTGAAATTAGGGTCCTCTCTGATGACGGGGGGAAGGGGGAGGCCTCCAGGCAGGAGCACGGGGAGGCGTGGGCCTGGAGGGCCGAGGTCGGGCGCCCTCCGACCCCGGCCGGAGTCCTTCACTCACCGGTGCCTCGTCCTACTACACTGCCCACAGGACCTCTGGGGACGCGGTCTGCTATTTTCACATCTCTTCCCCCAAAGATTATGTTCAGTTTAAGGAAGCAAACTGCAAATTCCTCCCGCCCGTGTGTCCTCAGCATGTGGATTTGAAACCCGAGGCTCACTGACTGGGAGCAGCACCATCCAGGGGGACAGAGGAGAGACAGGAAAGGACAGACAGGCCTTCCAGGAAACCGCGAACTTTTGCCGGTTGAAAAAAACAGGATTCTACAAAATCTTTTCAAAATTCGCAGGTTAAGACAAATTTAGCTTAAGGAGATGTAAAACAAACCAATATTTAAAAATATTTCTATTCCTCGTAGTACTTGGAGTTGTACCTCTATCATATTATAAAATTATACACACATGCTCCAAAATGAGGCCGTTAAACACTAGCCTCTTTTTAATAAAGTCTCCATGAAGCTTCTTCCTCACTTTCCCCGGAATACGGCGGAGCGGGTTAGCGCCCTCCCTCCCCAACACTCCCGGAGCTTACTGAGCGCACCGGCCCGGAGACCGCGGTCCACCCACGCTTCACGCCTCCCAGGGGCTGACCCGCCTCAGTCTCCAGATGGAAAGGCAAGTTCCCTCCCTACAAATTCACGCCTCAGCCCGACCAGCTAAGGATCGGGACGAGGCCCATCAGAAAGGGCGCGGGGAGCACTCTGCGTACTGAAGCCGGCCAGCCAGCTGACTCCTTTTCTCTCTCTTTCTTCCAACAGCAGAAACGTGTGGCCGTTACCTGAATGTACTCCGTGAGGGTGTTAAAGACTTGCTTTGCTACTTGAATTGCTTTGGAGAAGTTGCGCTGTCCCTGCTCATCGATGACGTCCTTCCCGGAGTAATACCAATAGAAGTCACTGATGGACTCCTGGAAGAGAGGTGAGGGGTGAGGGCACATGGTGAGGCTGCGCCCACTGTCCAGCTGTGAATCGCTAACGTAAGTCATCTGACAGCACAGATTTGGAAGTGAAAAAAATACGGTGAAGTAAATACAACCCCCAGCGATTTTCCTACACGTGCAATGTGGCAACACCCTCCCTAGAGCTGCAGAGGAGAAGCACAAAACTTAGCTTTAAAAATGACCTCCTGTCTCTGGTGACCTAGAACTTCATAAACATAAGGATCGTAAGGTTAGTGCACATCTACCCCTTGAGCAGTTAGAGGTTTTACTAGGTAAGCACAGAAATTAGGTATTTTTTGGGTTGCAGACGCCTGGCCTCCTGTTTCCCCCGCAAAGTATGAGCACCTGCTGGGGGAGGACTTCAGGATGTCCTGCCTCTGGACCCCCCAGAAACTGCTGGACTGCGGATAAATACTGGCAAGTGTACACCAAGTCTTCCCGACAGGATATCTGCACAATACTCACATTTTGAAGGAATTTTGTCAGCTAAATGAACAATAGGTCTAGTGTGTAAACTGCACTTGGGTTTTGAGCCATAATTTAAAAAATCACAAATATGTTTTTAGCAACTCTTCCTAATGTACATATTTGCTTCCAAATAGATCTTTTCCTCCACTAAGCTTTAAGTAAAAAAGTGTTGTGCTTTTACATACTCAGATTAAGGGGAAAACTCAAAGTCTGCAGGTTCTCAAAGTTCTGTACTGGCTTCTCTTAGAAATAAAATGAGAGATGAAGGTGACACAGGCTCTCTCCTCAGGAGGCCTCCACCTTCAGACTCAGTCTTGCTAATGTGGAATCAATTACTACAGTATCACAGGGACTTTAACTGCTTGTTAAGATGAATTTTAAAATTAACTCAAATATTAGGATGGCTGAAGACCTAACCCGAAGGCATTAAATTCAAGTACATGGGAGGCTTGAAAGCCTTTCTTTCTCCCTCCTGAGAACACCCGGGATGTTCTTCCCCGTTTATCCATCAACCGCAGAAGGAGCACAGCATGTGAGCGCTTTACAAAGTGGAAAGAAAATTTAAAACGCCATCAAAGCTAAAAAATGTAGGGAAAAGTCTGCACTTATAGAAAGAAAATCATGAGCCCAGTGGAGCCAGGATGAAAGACGGGACAGGGTGGCGGGTTCGCCAGCAGGCCTGGGAAAGACTGGTCAAGGCAGAGTCTGAAAATCCAACGAGCCGTGAACCAGAGCGCGTTGGGATGGGCCAGCTGATCGGCACGCCGGCCGCCCCGTCACCGCAGCTGCACGAGCCCTCTACTGGGCCAGGACGCGGGGCAGCGCACCTGGACCCGCAGCAGGTAGTCCACGGTGGAGATGATGATATTCACGGTGGTGTTGTTGCCGGTCTGAGTTCTCAGATAATTCTGAAAATCTGTACGAGACCAAAAAATGGTATTAAATCTCACTCCAGAGTTTAAAATGACCTGTTATTTGAAAAACTCCAAAATCAAATGATGTCTCCAGCAAAATCACTGTGGCCAGGAGTAGTTTTAACATGAAGTAATTCACAGTTTCCATAGAAAGGGAGTGACCACCCCGTAAGCACATCTGGGTCTTTCACAGAACAGAAACACTCCATTTTTGCCTAAGAGGCTGCCGACGCGTTTCCCGATTCCTGGCTCGAGCGCTGGGTGCGGGGACGTGAAGGGTCCCATCCTTTAGGACAGTGGTTAGACACTCAGTGGTCCCCTGTGCCTCCCGGACGTGCTCAGTGCCGGGAAAGGTGACCTTCCCGCCAGCTCCCGCCCGCCTGGGCCCATCGCTGGCCGTGGAAGCATCAGGCTCAGCGACGCCATGAACACCTTCCCCGGTGCAGAGAAGGGGCACAGAGGGGACAAGGCACAGTCTTCCCAGAGATCTCTCCAGTCTGTACCCTTTCACCTGCCACCTGCCTTCTCCAGCAGAGCCACCGATAAGCCGAGTGAAGTGGCTACAGGGGACTCTGAGGCAGCGATGCTCACAGGAAACGGGGCTGCCGGTGCCCACGCGGCGCTCGGGCTGTCCCGACTGCAGGGTTACCCGCCGCTGGCACTGCCTTCCAAACACCTTTCCCCCGGACCCTCCTGTGGCCCCAGGCCTCACCAACCTGAGTTGTGTCCCTCACAAAGCAGCTGCAGGAAGCGGAAGAGGTCACAGGTGAACTCGTCATCCTGAAGAACCTTTTCTCCTGCAGGGAAGTACAC